TAAAAAAAAAAAAGACTGTAAAACCTACCATCCTCCCAACCTGGACTGAAGAGATTCTGGAATTGGATCTGGAATGTTCTTGGTCCCTTCCTTCTGTCAACACCAACATAATTGTCATGGCAACAAACCACTGCTGTTGTTGGGAGCCCTTACTGTCTCACCTGGGATGCATTCTCTTTGGCCATCTATTCCTTCACCAAAATGAAATGCAGACAAATTCCTCTCGGCTCACTCACCACCCTCATGCGGACAGCATCTCTACAGAGATGAGGGGGCCCCAAGGGGAGTAGACTGGAAGCGAGATATCAGGGAAGGTGGAGCGCTGACTGCACAGCCTCCCACCTTGGCTGGGCTGGCTTCCTTATGTTCGAAAAGCTCAGAAGGAAAGTGCCTTCTTCTTCCAAAGTTTGTAACTCAAAATCTGACCATCTTTTAATAATTTTGAAATAAATTTGATTCAGTTCTGCAGCCTCCCAGCTGATATTGGATACCTGAGTCATACTTTTAAAGAACATAAACAATCCTCAAAGAAATGTGGAATTTCCAACTACCTTCTCGTCTCTGACCAAATTTGTCAAAATCTTCCATTAACTTGAATGGGGGTGGGAGGTCTCTCAGTGGTTCAATAGGGCTGATCATGGCATCCACATTATCCCATGGTTACTCATTATCATTTTTGAGTAAAAATGTCAGGAGCTGAGACTGCAGAAGGGAATGTTTTGAATAAACCCGCTCAAGCCCTGGCCCTCAGTTTCATAAAGAATTGGAGTTACTTACCTCAACTTCCTTTTCAGTGAGTGGCGGGGCACTGTGAAAAAGAAAAGACATGCAAATGAACTCTATCCACTCTACGAAATAAAGCAAAAGACACCTTTGAACAACCAAGCGACCAGGTGTTTCCAGGTATGTCACAAGCAGGGTTGGTGAGCTGGGAAAGAGGCAGGGTACACTTTGTGTGAGCTCTGTAACCCATAAGAAATTATTCACCCAGATAGTGAATCCAACAGAGCAAGTGTGGTGCAAAATATTAGATCCTGGGGTCAGAGCTCCACCACTGCCTGTAGTATCTGTGACTTTGGACAAGTTATTTAAATTCTCTAAGTTTGCTCATCTATAAAATGGGAATAATATATACCTTGCAGGAGTCTTATAAGGAATATATGTACGTATGCACATATAAATGTAGGAGATGTTGGTGATTATCATGACTAACTCACAGGTGTGCTGTGAGGACTTAATAAGAGAATGGAGGAGCTGTGTACTTTATAAATTGTATACATCTGAACAGCCATTATAGTTTTTCTGGGGCTACCCATATCTGCAAAGCCTGACCCTCTTCCTGCCTCTGAGGATTGTGCATGTGAGTCAGACAATAAACGGTAGGAATGAGCGGCCAGAGCTCTTCTCCCCATGGAGAGCCTCCTCCGATGGCTGGAGCCAGAGATCAGGCAAGAAAGTCCCAGCAGGCGCAGAGGGTGTGGTTCCCACAGCAAGCATCTTCCACTCTGCACGCTCACTCTGTTGATGCTGCTGCTGCCGTTCCGGCCGGTGACTAAAGCTAGCCTCGTTCTGAAACCCAGACAACGTAAATAATGCCTGGGCCCTTTCCTGTGCTGGGGTGGGAGGACCGGGAGGAGTCCGACCGGCGTCACAGGACTTGGCAACAGATCGTGCCATCGATAAGATCCTCAGGAAACACAGCTTCCTCCCTCTCACGGGTGTGGAGGGACCCTGAGAGCAAAGGTAGGGGTCAGCTGTCTCTGCAAGGGACTGGTTCTCACCCCTGACGAGGAACTATGAGAACCTTCCTGTCAGGATGAGGCAAAGAGACCCCACGGCCACCAAGTCAGCAGAGCACAGAGCACAGGATAAACAAGTGCAAAGATGTTTGACGCTTACAATTCTTGTCACAACCCCACCTGTCAACTCCTTTCCTCTGTGGGCCAGCCCACAGAATCTTAACTGTCATACAGAACATGCACATCTTGCTTCAATGATTTATCAAAACTCCCTGAGCTTGCCTTTGACCCCTGGCTTTGTTTGGATAGTATGTGAAATTTATATATTATTAACCAAAGTTATTTTTCTGTTTTGATGACTTTCTCTTTTTGGCTGTAGAACACACTGTTTAAAAATATCAAGGCCCTTGAGGACTCAAGTAGGTGTGGTTTAGGTAAAGAAGCCATGTGACATGGCCAGCTCCTGAAGCAGAGAGCTATGTCTTATGGACTGGCCCAGACAGGTAAAGGGCAGAGCTGTGGCCCTCCCAAAAGATGGAGGCCTAGCAGGTGATGTACAAGGAGACCACTCTGGATGTCACTATGTACCTCAGAATTCAAACTGCCTTAATAAGCGAGGCCTCTACTGGACTCTCCTCCCACTCTTCAGCTACGTTGGCCATTCTGTTCTTTAAACACACCTCACTGTGGCCCCAGGGCCTTTGCATTTACCGTTCTTTCCCCTTTTTCCACTCTCTTTTGTAACTGCTTTATTGAAATATAATTCACTTACCATAAAATTTACCCTTTTATATTTGCAATTCAGTAGTTTTTAGTATATTCACAGAATTATACAACCATCATTATGGTCAATCTTAAAACTTTTTAATCATCTCCAAAAGGAACCCTGTACCAATTAGCAGTCACTCCCCCAACCCCTATCCCAAGCCCTAGGCAACCACTAATTTACTTTTGTCTCTATGCATTTCCTTTTCTGGATATTTCATATAAATGAAACTGTACAACATTTGATCTTCTGCAGCTGACTCTTTTCACTTAGCATAATGTTTTCAAGGTTTATACATGTAGTAGCATATATAAATACTTCATTTTTATTGCTGAACAGTATTCCACTCTATGGGTATATCACATTCTATTTATCTACTCATCAATTGATGGACATTTGTCTATTTATCTACTCATCAATTGATGGACATTTGGTTTGTTACCACTTTTTAGATATTATGAAAAATGCTGTTACAGGACATTTGTGTACAAGTTTTTGTGTGGACATATATTTTCATGTCTCTTTGTTATATACACCTAGGAGCGGAATTGCTGGGCCATATGATAACTATATGTTTAACTTTTTGATGAACTGCCAAACTGTTATTCCAAAGTGGCTGCACCATTTTACTGAGAATTCTAATTCCTCCACATCCTCACCAACACTTATTATTGTCCACCTTTTTTATCATAATCATTCTAGGGATTTAAAATGATACCTCATTTTAATCATTTATGATATATGATATGTCATTTAATGAATTTATCATTTATTATTTATGATATATCATTTGAATTTGTACTTCCCTAATGACTAATGATGTTGAGCATCCTTTCATGTGCTTATTAACCCCTTATATATATTTGAAGGAAGGTCAGTTTAAATCCTTTGCCCATTAAAAAAATTAGTTGTTAATTATATTCAGCCAAAAAACAGAATGAAATTTTGCCAGTTGCAACAACATGGATGAATTTGGAGGGTATTATGTTAAGTGAAATAAGTCAGAGAAAGACAAACACTGTATGGTATCACTTATATGTGGAATCTAAAAAAAATAGCAAACTAGTGAATATAACAAAAAGACGCAGACTCACAGATACAGAGAATAAACTAGTGGTTACCAGTGAGGAGAGGGAAGCAGGGAGGGGTAATATAGGGGTAGGGGGAAAAGAGGTACAAACTATTATGTATAAAGTAAGCTACAAAGATACATTTTACAACACAGGGAATATAGTCAGTATTTCATAATAACTATAAATGGAGTATAACCTTTAACAATTGTGAATCACTATATTGTACACCTGAAACTTGTATAATATTGTACATCAACTACACTTCAATTAAAAATAAAAAATAAAAAATTAGTTGTATTTTTATCAAATTATAAGTTCTTTATATATTCTAGAAACAAGTCCCTTATTATAAACATGATTTGCAAACATTTCCTCTCATTTTGTGGGTGGTCTTCACTTTCTTGATGGCATTGTTTGTATCACAATGTTTTAATTTTGATGAAATACTATTTATTCATCTACTGTTTTCTCTTGGTGCTTGGGCTTTTGGTGTCATATTTAAGAAACCATGGACTAGCTGGAGGTCACAAAGATTTGCTCCTATGTTTTCTTCTAACAGTTTTATAGTGTTGGCTTTTACATTTAGGCCTATCATCCATTTCAAGTTAATTTCTGTGAATTGTGTGAGGCAGTATTCCATGTTTACTCTTTCGCACGTGGCTATCTAATCATCTAAGCACCATCTGCTGAAATAGCTGCACTTTTTGTCTGGAAATCTCTTCACTGAAGTCTTTGCAAGAACGGCTTCTTTCTGTCATTTGCATGTCTCAGATTAATTACGACTTTATCATGGAGGCTTTCCTTGACCCCCTACCCAGTGTTCTGTTTCCATGCCATTCTCTGCATGTGCCTATTTGGTGGTCTTCCTAGCAGCTTAGCCATCTGAAATCATTCATTTGGTTACCTGAAAATTATTTGTCTCCCCACCTGGAATGTAAGTGCCATGGAACAGGGAAGGCGTCTGCTTGTTTTCCACTCTGGCACATAATAGATACTTAATGAATATCTGTTGATTAAATGCCTGCTTATTGTTTCTGTTGGTATTTGACCCTGGGGCTACCTCATCCAATTATATCTCCTCTTTGCAATCCTGTTAACCAACCACTGACCACCTCCCTAATTTGGGTTCCAGACCTAGTTTTTCTACAACCCATCCAGCTTGCTGATCCTATGAGTTCCTTCTTGGTATGGTCTAATCTCAATTCACATATTCCACATAGAACACGAAACCAACTCCTTCATCATATTAAATTCAAGTATAATATTCAAGTATAATAATATTATACTTTAAAATTACTCAAGTATACTATGCCCATATTTCTGCTGGGGGAAGGAATCTTGAAACTCTGGCTTCCTTTTATTGGACAGCATCTTAGGGTACAGTTTGTCCATCTATCCCAAGCCCAAAACTAGGGCTAGAGAGTTCTGGGCCCAAAGAACGGCCCAAGTTGGAAACTGCCTCTATTAAGGCCAGGAGCAAGGAGGTTGGGGACAGGCAACAGGCTCTTGACACAATGCATGAGAGCCACTGATCTCAAACTGAGAGCCAAGAACACATCCCTTAGAAGCAGATCTTATTTATGCAGGCCCAGTATGGCCTCATGGTTGGAAACTAGTATCTTCTCAAGTTCACTTACTTGAGAAGACAGAACTGCTCAGTCTCCCTCTCCTGGGGAAGCTGGCAGAATTTAGTCAGCTAGAAGTATGCCCTAGTCGTACTAAGTATCTTCAGCTTTGAGGAAAAAGAAGCCAATCACACTCGACCAGCCTTGCTCCTTGCAGATGGAAATGGACCGATGGATGTCTGGGTACTTGTGATAGGCCCCTGGTACAGGTGGAAAGGCATTAGGTCTGGAACCAGTGACTCTGTCACTTACTAGCATGTTGCTTTGTCTCCCTGTTCCCTGGCTGAGGATAAAATAAAACCTGCCTTTTCTGCCTCACTGGGTTGTCGCAGACACTAAAAGACACACAGCTCTGTAACCTGCAGTGGTTTCCTGCCTCTGGACACGCACTGCCTGCCTCCCACGAGGTGAACCAGCCTGACCCCCCCGCCCTCCTCCAGCTGTGGATGCAGCCCGCTTCTGACTTATTTCTAGCACTTTTCCTAGAAAAGTGCTTTAGTCGCTAAGTTCCTGAGTACTGCCCTGGTCACTCTATGCTTTAGGTGATTACAGTGTAGAATTTGAACATAACACAGCCCCTGGCAAAACTTGTCTTCCTCTCAAAGGGAATTCTTATGTCTGCTTGCTCTTAAAGGTCTTTTCCTCCAAACAGTTGCTGAGCTAGGCGGAAGGCCTCACATGCAGGTGCTCGCCCAATCCCTGCTGCTTGGTGGTGCCCTCTCTTCTCTCCTTTATACTCCAAACACTTTCAGTTCAACAATTTCAATTATCAAGGGCTGTCATGTGCTGACAGGGTCCCAGGTCCCTGCTCACATGCTGTCTTGTTAGCTAGGGCAGCTCCCTACCCACAACAGAGCACTTCCGGCACCCGTGGTATAGGTGAGGAGGCCGAGGTTCAGGAAGCAAAGCCACTTTCCTCCCGTGTGTGGAAGAGCCTGCCAGGTTTTCCAAGCATCCTGCCTCATGTGTTTCCAAATGTTCTACATCTCTATCTAAGCAGATATCTCACTTAGAATCTCCCAGTTGTAGGTAAACGGTGACGTGAGGTTGAAACCATTTCTCCTGGCCCAACACCCACCACCCTCTGCTGCCATGAGCCTCTGGGACCCTCATGCCCACCTACGAACCCCACCTGCTCTTTGAGTTGGAACCACCTCCCCTGGCTCTTTATTATTCTTTTTGTTTTGGGTGCATCAGCCTTGTCTGGACTATTGGACTTTGACCCTACTGGGGTCAAACACCAAGTCTGGTACTCCTGTGTTCAGAATCGAACACAGGGGCCACCCATGCCCTGATTTTACCTTCCAGGGAGAGACTTGTGGACCCGCAGTTTGCGCAGCAGCACGTCAGAAATATTGGGCATGACATCCAAGCCGCTCTTGGACTCTTCTTCCTCAGTAGCTGGGGAGAGTTCAGAAGGGGGCCCTGAAAAAATAAAGTGTTTAACTTATAAAATGTTTGTTTGAAATCACAGTTGTACTCTTGGCAATGTGCTTCAGTAGTAAGGAAGAGCTTTAATAATTATTAGAACCTAGTTATATGTCAGGGGCTTTATAATTGTTATTTTATCCTCACAATGACCCAATGAGCTAGAACTTGATCATCCCATTTTACAGGTGGGTAAACCAAGACTCAGCAAGGTTACCACTTGCTTAAGGTCACAGAACTAGTAAATGGCATAATCAGACTTCAGTTCTATTTGCTCCAAATTCTATGGTCTTCCTATCACTCTCCATAGTATCTACCAGGCCCCTGTGTCTGGGGTCTGAGATTTTTACAGTTACCCATGATTCACCATCTTTCATGGGTTTTGACCCATGAGCACATTTCCAGAATTATAGTCCAGGCCAGAGATCAGGACTATGACCAAGGCTGTGGTAGCCATTTAAATGGAGCTAAGATTGGGAGTCATGAGTTAGAATTAGAAACCTCACCAGGGGAGCCCATGCAGAGAGAGGAGGAGGTATAGTTTGGCTCAAGGTAAAGAATGTTTAAATACTTTGAGCTTTCCAATTACAGAACGGCCCTCATGAGTTTCCTAGTACTCAAGGCATCCTGCAAAGTCTGGAGGGCCACCTGTGAGATGGGGCAGTCAGTGATCCTTCTTTGGATATGAGGTTGGATTGATGTTCTTTTGGCTACCTGCCACCTCCTGGGTTCTGTCCTGGCACTTACTGCTCTCTCACACTTCCACATGACAGACGGCAAACCTTGTGGCCTCACTCTACCTTTATGCACCCCCACTGCACCCAGCAGAGAGATAGTGAAGCAGTGGGCTCCTGAGGAATCTATATGATTGACTGAACCACACGAGGTCTAATAATCACTGGAAAGTCATAGGAGGGGCTTGTGCCTAGAAAAGTCCCCTAGGTTGAACTCCACCTCCCAAAAAGGGAACTAGTTAGGGCTTCCAGCCCTGCTAAAACTGCTTAAGATCACTCTTAAGAGTGATCCCAGAACTAGTGGATCTCAGAACCGGCCACCCTCCTCCTGAACTCAACCCGATTAACAGCAACAGCAGCAGCAACAACAAGTTTTTAAACCATCCAAAAATATACTGGCTTTTCTCTTGTACGGGAAAAGACAATAATCTTTAAAAGTAGTGGCCAGAGAAAGACAGAACTTCCTAGGAATAAATGTAGAGCTCCCACCTGTGATCACACCACTTATTCCCTCAAAGGATCAGTACTTAGAGGAAGATGTCAGAGGAAAAGTTGGGACACATGTTTGTAGTCACTTTTTTGACTACAGAGCCAGAAAAGAACTGGACCGACGGGTGCGCAGGCAGCCTGCGGAGGCGGTTCAGAAAGTTTCTCTAGAGTAGGAAGACCTCCGTTCCACCGTGACAATACTCCAAGACAAACGCTGCCTGTGCTGCTGTTTGCTTTTTGCCCTGAGGAGGAGCGGAGAGGAAGGGCAGAGTAATAGCCTGGTACTCTACCAGAGCTGATTATCTCTGATTTATAGAGGGATTTACCAGAAGGGGAGATGAAAGAGAAAATAAATAAGACAAGGCCCTTTGATGGAATGAGTGGCAAGAGACATATGGAAAGCCCCAAATGACACTGCCATCCCATCTCTACCCGTGCTTCTGAAAAAGTGCAGAGTGGCCAACTCCTTGAATTTGTCTATCTTTTCCTTCCTCTATCTGGCAGGAGAATAGGAGTGGCTGCTAGGAATAGTTGAATCAAGTCTGGAAAATAAATACCCCAGCAGGTTGCCCCTATAATTCTACCCTGAATTGGTGAAATAATCCATGCCCCACTACTGCCCACCCACGGAATAAGATATGCCCCCACTTTGCTGTAATAAATTCAAGTGTGAGACTATGAACAAAGTTATAGAAAAGGAGCAGAAACCAATCCCACAACCACCGCTACCCACAGCTCCACCTCAACTTCCCCTTTTCCCCACCACCCAAGCAGTAACAAAGCAGACACAGATACCCAGTCCTCGACTAAGCACTGCCAAGAGGGCAGAGATCTTAGTTAAGGTAGGAAAAAGTCAATGAGAATTGACCTACACAATGTATATAGGTCAAGAGAAAAATCCAGGTAGAAATAGTCATACCAAAAAGGAATTAAATTGTATAGCACAGGGAAATAAATACAAGATCTTGTGGTAGTTCACAGTGAAAAAAAAAAGTGACAATGAATATATGTATGTTCATGTATAACTGAAAAATTGTGCCCTACACTGGAATTTGACACAACACTGTAAAATGACTATAACTCAATAAAAAAATGTTTAAAAAAAAGAAATTAAATGAAAACAAATGGCCTGGCAACTACACTAAAGTTGTGTAGTCAAAAGAGGAAGGAAAGAGGGGAGGAAGGTATAATGGAAAGAAGGAAATGTGCAGGAGACAGATGTCAGGATGGAAATAGAGATGCAAGAAACCCAACAAAAATGCATTTTTGTGCAAAATGTACACCACAAATGCACTGACTCAAGGAGAAGTCAGAACCTGAAAAAAATGAAAATAGGGATCCGAGGTGAGATGAGACGACCATACAAAATGGAAAATTACAATTTCAGGAAATAAACTGAAGACCAAAATAACAAAACTAAGCCCAAAATTCTAAAAACATAGAACTAACCAATATGTTGGAAATATGAAGGAATAAAAAATTAAACTGAATTAGTGGGGGAGACTGAGGTGAGCTCCAGGAGGAAAGAAGGAAAGAACGATTGAAATATTTAGAGGTAGAAACATGAAACTGCAGTTGAGACACTGATGAAAAATTTATGGATTCTGGTGTCTCTGTAGTAAACAAAAGGAAGAAAATGTTCAAAGACACAGGAGAAGAAAAATTTTCCTCCACTGAGAGAAAAGCTGAACTTGCAAATTGAGAAAGCACACCATGTTAGGAAAAATACATATGTATCTTACTCTTTCTATGTTTGTATATGTATCTTATATAGATCTATATCTATATACAGATATAGAAATGCTTCTCCAACTATCCTCAAAGAAAGAGAAAGTTACCTACAAGGAAAAGTGAGGTTTGAGGGGGTACTGGAAATCAGCTGGCCTCAGACTTCTCTACAACTTTGAATACAGTGTAGCATCTACAAAGCTTTGAGGAAAAGAGTGATCCAGGATTTATAACCATCCAAGCTGTCCTTCAGGAATAAAAACAACATTTTCAAACATGCCAGAATTTAGGGAACATGCACCTCTAAGCCCTTCTGGGAAAACTACTGGATCATGAAATCCAGCTAAACATGACGTAAATCAAAATTACCAAGTTGGGAATGGTGAGCCACAGTAAAGGGACTGGTGGTGAGCATTAAATTCTTTTACTTATAGGTTTAAGGCTAAATAACAATGAAAATTATGGTTACAGAATGGAATGTCAATGTTACAACCTTGAGAATATGAAAAGAATTATGATCTGTATATGTAGAGGTGGAAAGGTTGGGAAGAAATACTGCCATTCTCATCTTTCCCTGCAGGAAGTGAATATTCCAAACTTGACATGTGTAATATAAAAAAAGTACCTTAATGACTCCAAACACTTAATGCATTTCAAAATACGTATTTTGACAGTTTTAAAGGTTCCGGTCAAGATGGAGGTGTAGTATGACCACGAGCTCATCTCTCCTCACAACTATAACGAAACCACGACTGACTACTAAACAACCATTTAAAAAAAAAAAAAAGACTGGAACCTAGCAAAAATGATCCTCTTCAACTGGAAACAGAAAGAATGTACCTCAGCAGGACAGCAGGGAGGCATGCTTGTGATATATTCAGGCCCCATATTCCTCGGGTGGGCGACCCACAAGCTGAAGAATAATTAAGCTGCAGAGGCTCTCCCACAGGAGGGTTCTGAGCCCCATGTCAGATTCCCCAGCCTGTGGTTCCAGCACTGGGAGAAGACCCCAGAACATCTGGTTTTGAAGGCCAGCAGGGCTTAACTCCAGAGCTCGATGGGACTTGGGGGAAAAGAGATTTCACTCTTTTCGAAAGTGCACACAGAATTTTGTGTATGCTGGGACCAAGGGCAGAGGCAGCGACTTCATAGGAATCTGGGCCAGACCTGCCTGCTGGTTTTGGAAAGTCTCCTGGGGAGATAGGGGGCAGTTGTGACTCACCCTGGGGACATAAAAGCTGGTGGCGGACATTTGAGAAGTGTTCATCTACTTGCAATTTTCTAGAGGCTGATATCTTGCTTGGATCATTAGCTCCAAGACCTAGCCCCACCCAACAGCCTGTAGGATTAAGTGTTGGGAAGCCTCAAGACAAACAACACACTGGGTGGAAACACAGCCTTCATCCATCAGCAGGCTTCACAGAGTCCATAGCTGCCCCCAGGCATGCCCCTAGGCATGGCCCTACCCACCAGAGAGCCAGGACCAAACTCCACCCAGCAGTGGGCAGGCACTCCTCCTGCCAGAAAACCTGCATAAGCCTCTAGTCCAGACTCACCCACCAAGGGGGCAGATACCAGCAATAAGAAAGCAATAATCCCAAAGCTTGTGGAAAGAATCCACAAACACAGGTCAGACTCTACCCTGGGACCAGCTGGACCCTGGCCCTTGGGTTACAAGACAGAAGTGTACTGCTGGGATGTACAGGACATCTCCCACAGAGGGCCCTTCTCCAAGGTTGAGAAACATAACTAACCCACCTGAAAACACAAATAGAAAGTTAGACAATATGAGGCAGCAGCAGAATATCTTCCAGGCCAAGGCACAAGATATAATCCCAGAAGAGGAAATAAAAGATGAGGAGATAGGCAACCTATCTGAGAAAGAGTTTAGAGTAATGATGGTGAAGATGTTCAGAGAATTCAGGAAGAGTACAGATACACAGAGGGAAGTTTTTAGCAAATAATTACAAAATACAAAGAGTGTCCAGAGTTGAAGAATACAATTACTGAAATGGATAACAGACTAGAAGGAACCAAGAACAGAAG